ATTGGGTGAAGTGGGCAATGGATTAGTGATATGCTGTAACTGATTCTGTGTTAGAGAGGAGGGCGAGTATGGCTGTGTCATCAGAGTACTTCCGCCAGGGCCTGCAGCTTTGTGTGGACTGACCCTCTGCTGCACACGCTCAGTGTGGGAACCTGTCTGTCCTCTGGCTAGGTTTTTTGCATTCGTCACACTGTTGCCAAGCATAAAAGGGTTGAGCTTGTAGGTCAGTGTGACATTACTGTGGCAGACGGGGTTGCTATTGTAGTCTCCTTTATTGTGTATTCTTTATCTAAAGCAGCAGGAAACGTTTTTTTGTGAATGTTCTTTAGTGGCATTTAACAAGCACCATTTCGTATAAGTTATTTACCAATCAAACCCTCCAACTATTCTCTAGTGTCAGCTTTTCCAGTGTATGGATTTTATGCTTTTCTGTTTTGTATCATTGTAAACTAAATATCTTTGCTGTCTGTGGGACTAAACAAGACATCTGAAGACATCACCTTGGAGTTTTGTTTGACACTGAATGACTAATCAATTAATTAAACTTATACAACTTAACAATAAACCCTACCAAATAAACAGCTAGTCAAGATGTGAAAAGGTGTGTTGTTGGCCTGCTGAGGTAGATGGTAAGTGAGTCCATTCAGATATTTTGATGAAGCAGGAAAAGAACAGGTTGAATTAATCATGGAAACATTCCATTCAAGTGACCCAACATGGATTCAAGATGCAGAGGGTATCGTTCAGTTCAGTTCTCCCCTAATAAGTTTTTATGTACTCAGGCTTGTACCTTCTAACTTTCTTCAAGATTAATGTCACTGTATTACTGCACCCTTATCAGAGTCTGAGGTTGTCAGGTAGGGATCTTTCAGCCATGAGAAGGTGTAAGATTATAAGGGACAGAGCTACACCTCAACTCTAAAACAAACTTCCAAAATCAGTATCTTATCACCTGTTTTTAAATTTACATTTTTCACATTTTATTAGAAAGCTTTTTCATAACTGTATTAAATTCTGTACATTTGTTTGCGTGTGTATTTTGCAGTATGTGTGTATTCAGATTTGTTTAATTTGCACTTTGGGAAGTGTTCCAAAGAAAAAATTATTATAAGATATTTCTTAACACAGTTATTTATCTTTTGTACTATTGTAGTATCTTTTGTATTCAACCAGGAACATTACTTCATTCATGTCCATCAAAGCTAAACTAGTGCTCCATCTGTGAGTCGCATAACATTGTCTATGGGTAAAAATTATTGAGACTTTTACTTCCTGAGCGTCTATAATCATTAGCCGTTGTCTTGATCACAGGTGGGAAAATGAAGTTGCGACAGAGTTCATGCCACCGTACAGATTCTCCCTCAGAAACACCAGCGTCTTCCTCCAGGCGTCTTCCTGAGCACGAGAATGTGCCACAGTCTCCCCGCCCCACAGAGCCATCACTGCGAAGACAACAGGAAGCCGAAAAAGCCGTCAAAACTCAAGCCTGAAGTCCGATTTTGACATCAAATAATTGCGTCCTGTCTCTGCATACAGCTTCACAGTCTGAAGGTGAACTTACACTTCTGACCGGTGCCGACTGTTTTGAAGGTGCTTGCTCGGGCATGCGGCGTGTACGGAGGTTCAATCAGGTGACCAACGTTCGGATATGCCAGGACGGTCAGCAGGTGGCTATTCCCCGCCCGCTCCATCATTTCTTTTATCTGGAAAACAGGAAATAAAATACATCATCTCATATTTCTCAGAGGGTTTATTTATGTATTTTTATTTCCTCTCCTTGGGTGTGATTTTTAAGTTTGTATATTTGTTGTAGTTTTTGTAAAACTTTGTTTATTGCTTTTAAGTAATAAACATATGAAAGCACGTACAAAACACATGCTCGGCTCAAAAGAGTAAATAGTAAATGAGTAAGTTAATAAATAAATGAGTTGCAAAGACCAAGAAATGATTAAATGCAGCTAATTCAAATACCAGCAGTGCATACCCAGTTTCACTATACTGGTAACAATATCATCAGCAATGCTGAAATCATAAATGTTGTTCTTGCAGCTTGAGTGCCCAACGAATGAGTCATAAGTTTGGTTTCTGGGTTTTGAAGATCCAGATAGTAACGCCATTTATCTTCACTTCAGTTTCCTCTATGTGATCGGTGAAGTTGATTCCTGTGACTTTAAACTAACAGACCAAGTTTGTTAGTCACACAAGATGTTGTCATGTCAGTAAACTTACGTCCATTGCAGACTCGTAGGCGGGCCAGTTCTGATCGTCCTCACCTACAACCAGCAACAGAGGACACTGGAGTCGCCCCACCTGTTCAGAGACAAACAGCAGCAGCATTTCAGCTTTTATCACAGGCTGCACATTCAGATTTAAAGCATTACCTAACATTACCTGTGGAATCATTTAGGACATGGTTTAAACTCAGAACATGGAATAAAGACTAATCTCAATGTAATGTATTTAAATGTTGTTTTTTAAAAACAATAGAACCCAATTGTACATTTCCTTGCAAGTGTTGTGAAAAAAAGTATTTAAGATTAAGACTGAGATTACAGAACATGCTCTGTAGCCACCCCATAGGCTGCTCATAGGCTACCACATTGGGACCCCTGCTCTGAACAGATGCAATTCCATGCAAACCCCCTTTTCTGATTTAAAGAAAATTAAACTCACATCTATTTTTGTTCAAGAAAATGTCTAATAAAACACTTTAGTCTTGCACAAATGAAATTCACAAATGTGTTCTGTAATTAACAAATGAAATAACTGAGAATCAAAAGTATCAAAAAGAAATTGTGGCTGGTGGTACTCACGTCTACTTTGAGTGTGGGGTCGGTGGGGATGGGGAGCAGCAGATCTCGCCAGATCACCTGGTTCTCCTCGTTGAAGCGAGTCTTCGAGGCATTTCTGATTGGACCAAAAAAAATTTTTTTAATTCTTCATCTTCTGCAAATCTGACTGATGGTGACTAATACTTGAATTATTGGTGAGACAGACTTTGGAAGATTGGGCAGATTTGCACACCTCCCTGCTCTTCTATGTGCATACATGGAAAAGTTTAAGACAAGGAGAGCAGCAG